GCGGGCCAAAACAGGCTGGTGGGCTGAAAACATCAACCCGCCCCGCCATATTATGGCTGGCGGGCCGGCACGCCGGGCCTAGCCCGTTTTGCCATCCCTACTCAAAGCATAATTACATCAACTTTTGTCACTTAATATCTTGATCCTTTACGAATAACTCTTGACTACACCAGTGACTATAACCCAATAACCAAACACTAGTATCACACACCAAGTACCCACAAGAACAAAAAATATAATAATATCACCTGAGAATTACAACACTTGTTTCACCTAATTGCAAGGATTCTATCTTTAAAGAAATCACTCAAAAAGTAGGAAGAATGTCTAAAGAATATTTTAGAAAATGTTTGCTTAGTCTTCACGTAGATGTTTCTCACAAAATCTACCTCAAAAGATCACTTGAATGATTAATGAAATCGTATATTTAAAATGAAAGAGAGAAATTGTTTATAGGGTATTATGTCAATTTTAACATATTAAATTATGATTTTAATAGATTAAATTCATTTAAACATTCATTTAATTGGTTATTTCATATTTTTAATCAATTAAAATAATGAGGTTAGAAACACATGTAAGTTTTAGTAAGTTGTTTTAATTGATAAAAACACATTTAATGATTAAATTAGATAGGTCAAGAATCTTTCTAAGTCCTACGAGATATTTTAACTGATGAAAACATGTTTAATCAATTAAAATAGAATGATAAAAAATCACTATGTTCTTGATTTCATTTTAACTGATAAAATAATATATTAATTAATTAAAACAGCCTATCACAAAAATCACTAAGTAACTCAATAATATTTTAACTAATAATTAAAGTTTTAATCGATTAATTTTTCGAAACCCATTTTCACCAAAATTGATCAATTGATGAAAAACATTTAATTGATTAAAACTTTTAAAAATATAAGGGTTTTGAATTTTAATGATTTTAATATATTAATTCTAATATCTATCGATTAAAAGGGCGAACATATAATATTTTAATGAACAAAAGTATATTTTAACAGAATAATCCACTTTTACTATAAACAAAGCTAATGAGACATTCACTGTAACTTAGGAGATGATTAATTTGAGAATAAGTCAATGCTTACATACCACACACGCATACACATATAGAGACTTCAAAAGACAATAGTATAGTAGTAACAAGATTTCTTCTTATCTTAGCTTCATCAAATCCAACATATTAACATGTTTTATGTTCATTAATCTCTCCCTATTTGATTATGTTCATCAATTATTTGGATGATAAAATGATTGTCAAAGTAAAGTAAGGTAGGTTGTAAGCGAAAATCATTCATTCATAAGGTAAGGGTTCACCTTTGTTATTAGAGATCTTGTGTAGTCCATAGGTGTGAAAATAGGGGCACACACAAGCATGCCATTATCAACAAAGAGACTAAGGGTATATTTGCACTAAAAAAGGTGAATACCTACATTGCTTCTAGCAACCTTAAGACCAAGGAAATATGTGAAGTCTCCCAACTTTCTAACTGTGAAGGATTCATCCAATTATGTAGTGATATTCAATATTTTGTCTGCATTGTTTCCAATTATGACAATATCATCACCATAAAAAAAAGGGTTGTAATGTTTGGACTTGTAAAATTGAGAAATAGTTAGTGATCTACAAAAGATTTTTTATAATCTTTAGAAATAAGAGAGGTAGAATGTTTAGTATACCACTATTTGTTAGATTGTTTAAGCTCATAGAGAGATTTGTGAAGATGAAAAACCTTTTGCATGTCGTAAAAAGTTATAAGAGGGAGTTTCATGTATACTTCTTTGTGCAAATCTTCACTGGAAAAGATATTGTTAATATCTAATTATTTTATATATCAATTATAAATGACAACTAGGGAAAGAAGGAGCCACATAGTGATTAATTTTGCCACAAGAGAAAAAATGTCAATATAATTAAGGCCCTCTTGTTTTGTGTAACCTCTATCACTAACCTTTCTTTACTACAAGAATTTTACATATTAGCTATGACACATTCTGTAGCTATTTTATAGCTAATCTCTCGCTGATACGTTTTGTTACAGATTAATTACGGAATAACTATGAAATAGTTTGTCGCTAAATCCAAATAGCTAATTAGATAAAGATGTATTCTCTCTCAAATTTGTAGCAAATTTTGTCGTCAATCTGTCGCTAAGTCATTCGCTAATTTTAAGTGATGAAACTTTGTCTTTCTCTAGCTAATTGATCTTCCAAATTTTTAGTTAACTTGTAGCTAATCCGTATTTAATCTCTCACAAATTTTCTCTCGCTAATTCGTAGCTAATCCCTCGCAATTTCGCTCTTGCTAATTCGCAGCTAATCCTTTGCAATTTTTCTATCGCTAATTTGTAACTAATCCCTAACAATTTATCTCTAGCTTTTCTGTACTTAATCCCTCGCAATTTTGCTCTCGCTAATTCGTAGCTAATCTCTCACAATTTTTCTATAACTAATTTGTAGTTAATCTCTTGCAATTGTATCCTCGCTAATATGTAACTAATTTGTAGCAATTATTTTCTTGTTAATCTTTAACTAATCTTTCGCAATGTTTCTCTCGTTATTTCGTAGTTAATCCCTCACAATTATTATCAAAATTATTCTCTGTCTAATTCGTAGTTAATCTCTTATAATTTTATTTACAAATAATTTACTAATTATTATTATTGACATAGTATGTATTCCTGCTAAAGTATCATCATAACATTATAATATTAAATATTTATTTTATCTGTGTATGCAATTATGCCTCTAAATCATGCTAACTGTTTTGTACTCAACATATAATAAACCAGATAGATAACAGTTGAAAAACCATACATGCTTAGTAATAATATTTGTGGTAATTGCAATATCGCGGAATTAGTAACCCTGTTATTGATTGCACTTTTCTTCTTGATTTCCACACTATGCCTAAATGACAAACTCAACTATATGTCAATTTTTATGAATAATAATAATAATACAGTCATTGGATGCACAAGCCAATGGGGTAAATTAAGGAGTACAAATTGAAAAGAGATGGATTAAAGAAAGTAAATAATTAATTTCCCCATAAATATTTAAAAATAGATATCTAAGGAACTGATTGAAAGTACCACATAAAGTGATTTTCTTTTTTCTTGAAACATTATTACTTTATTTTTTAACCATTTATGTAAATTATATGATAAGATTCATAAAATAAGTGAATTTCTTTTAGGCCATACACTTACTTCTAATGCAACAGAAACTTTTGAACATCAATGTTATTAGGATAAACCCTAAAAAATCACACCTCAATCCCAATGATGATGTAATCCATAATATATGCCTCTTGTTCATAAATCCCCAAAGTAGTTAAAATCAGGATTTACTAAAAAAAATAGAAATATAAAACACTTACATAATATAATTTAAATATCTGGTACATAAAGATTACATGTAAACACACTCATTCAAATAACTTCAAAATTTCAAGTTTTGATCACTACTCAAGACCAAAAGCAAAAGCAAAAAAGTCTAAATCATTATTATAACAATAAATTCAACCTCAAATCACAATAATCATCTTCATTTACATCAGGTCCTTTCACCTGCAAAATAAAAGAAAAATGGTCAGTAAGAAACAAAGATGTCCATGGATGACCAATCTTATAAAATAACATTATAATTATTAGTGATTGCAAAATAGAATCATTATAATAAAATATAATGTAATAAAACCTTTGGACACGTGTCAGCCTCACTCTTCCTTGGACAGAATTAGTGATTTGAACTGAAGTGCTTAGATTATGTAAGAAACAATACGAGCGAATGTGTAAGAAAATAAGTATGTCTAGATTCACTTCCACTTTAACCCAAAGTTTATGCTCTCAAAAACACCTGGAAAAGCAACAAGTGTGATGGATAAAAAAAAATTATGTTACTTTTAATTTAACGATGACCCAAGCACCCTGGAAGCAGAATAAACCAGTCTCCCATTACTTTCTAGTTTTACTTAATATATATGAAGTGCAATACTTTCTAGTTTTATTTAATGCTCAGTCCTTATCAGAAGACAATCCCATTAATAAAATCAACAAATTCTTTTAACAGAGAAATAAATTATCACATATTTGTAGATCTAAATCCCAATTCAACACACAAACAGCAAAGAAAAACAAGAACCAAAAGTAACAACACCAACACTACCTATGGATTTGACCCTTGCCACCTAATATTAACCATCTCAAAACCGTCCATTGCACTTATAACACTACCTATGCCTACCCTGCTTCTTCCTAGCTTTGAAAGGAAACAATTTCAAGGACAATATCATTAAAAAAACAACTTCAATTAATATTCAATTAGTATGCCTCATCCTATATTCAATTTGTTTTTGCACAATAATATCATGCTACAGAAACAAATTGTAAAAGGTGGGACAAGTATGATTTGTCACCAGAATTAGGGGTGCTTAATTATCAGGGGATAGAAAGGGCAATTTGTCCTAGTGTGGAGTGTGTGGTACTGAATTAGCCTCCCTTGGGCAGCATCTGGTTCATTCTGTTAAGAAAAGTTAATAACAAAATTGTCGGCTAGCAACAAGGTAATTAACCTATTAGAGAGGAAGGGCATCTCTCAAAATCGTTAGTGTGTACTCCTTCATCTCCCTCGTCTCATTAAAAACCTGGTCACCCATCTAAATTCAAATTCTCTGTTTGGTTCATCATGCCTATTGCTTAGCTTACTTTCAATTAACTTAGGATATATATGGACCAACTTCTCCATAAACATTTTTTACAACAAAACAAAATTATAACATGAATTGAGCCTTTGTGTTTAAGTGCTCCCTTATATTATTTACAATCTCATGCTGAGTATTTGGTTTAAATGTGTCATTGTTATTTACAAAGCTTACAGTTTCAGAAGGCACCACATGATTATCCCACTCAGTTCCTGCATTCCCACTTTTGCACTCATAATCAGTATCACCATCAGTCCTAGATGAAACCCTACCATTTTCAGATGGCCGCAACGACTTCTTCATCTTTCTTGATATCGTTAGAAGAAATCCTGCAACTCAATTGTAACTTTTCAATATCATACATAAGCAAGATATCTCAATGCATAGGGGGTTATTATAAAGAAAGAATCAATAGCAAATCATTAAATCAATGTCACCTAACCTTGTATCGTGTAACATTGGAGTCTGAATATAGTCAATAATTGGAACCAAGTCTTTTGAACTAGCTTCAATTATGCAATTTGACATTCTTTCAATCTCAAATTCACCTCCTGAAGTAGCTTCTTCCCCCATTATGTCAGGCTCTTGCAACATCGAACGAAAATATATCTGGTTGGAAAAATAATTATTCATGTAAATAACATACTACAAGGCTTAACATAAGAGACAAAAAGCATAGTTTAATGATTTAAAATAATATAACTTTAGTTTGGCCCATAATGAAGTCTGGGCTTGATGCATACGAAGTTCAGCGCGGCAGCGCGCGGAAATGGTGTGGAAGCAGCACGGCAGTGGTGCGGCAGTGGTGTGATAGCGGTAGTGGCAGCGGCGCAGCAGCAACGAAAGCAGGAGAGAAAGCGGCAGTGGCAGCAGTAGCAGCGTGATCTAGATCTAGGTTTTAAGATGGAAACGAGAATGGAGTTACGAAGAAGTGAAAAAAATTAATTTAGTATTTTTATTTAAAAAATTATAAAATTTTTATAATTTTAAAAAATTATCTTTATTATTATATTAAAATATTTATATTTAAAATAATATCTAATTAAATAAATATTTCAACATAATAATATTTTAAAAATTACAATTATTTCTAAATAATTTATTTTAGAAATTGTTTATATTTAAAATAATATTTAATTAAATAAACATTTCAACATAATAATTTTTTTAAAAATTATAATTTTATTTCTAAATAATTTATTTCAGATATAGAAAACAATATATATATATATATATATATATATATATATATATATATATATATATTCTAAATATATATTTTATAATTAATTAATATATTTACACTAAATTTTGTAAAAAAAAATTCAAATATTTTTTTAAGAAAAAATTGAAATTATTTTTTGTTGATATTTTTTTAAAAAGAACAAAATTATTTTTTATAATTATATATTTTTAGAGAAATTTACAAATATTTTTTGTAAATAATTTTTTACAAAAAAATACAGAAAATAAATAATTTTTAGTTGAAAATTGACTTATATATTTGCAAGAGATATGTAAAAAAATCTCTAACAAATTTGCATGAAAACTATGAAAGAATGATTCTCAACAACTTAATACTTTTTTTAATTTTATATTTGTTATAAATTTGCTACACTTTAGCTATAATTATATACTACACAATTTAGTTAGAAAATAGTTTTAGAAAGTAATATAGGTAATATTTATAGCTAGAGATTAGTGACAAAAAATTTTATAGCTAAATAATTTTTCTACTAAATGAGGGAATAACTATAAAAATATTAGTCTTTTAGCTATTTTACTACAGATTATTTACAATCATATTCCTTCACTATTTCATCGCTAATTAATTACAAATTAGTGAAAAATAAATTTCGTAGCAAATTTTTCTAGCTAATTACCAAATTTCTTGTGGTAATTGTACTTATCAATCAAATAATTTGTTTTATATTTTATGTTATAAAACCATTTACAATTGATGACAAGTCTTATTAAGAGGTTGGTCAGTTATAGTCCACGTTTAATTTACTTCATGGGCTTGAATTTCTTTATGCACAACTTTGATCTAGCGCTTACTTTTACAAATCTCATTATAAGAGGCAGGTTTAGTATTAATGTCAATATTCATGATCATCCTTTTAAATAAAGAGGACAATATTTCATAGGAAATGTAGTTTTCGATAGGGTATCGGATTTGGTGTTTGAATAAACAAAAATAATGTGATAGTCTATAAGATAAGCAGGTAACTATCTAATCATATTTGTCCTTCTAAGAATTTCTTTATACACGACTTTGATCTAGTGCTTACTTTTACAAACCTCATTATAAGAGACAAGTTCAATATTAACGTCAATATTTATGATCATCTTTTTAAATAATGAGGACAATATTTCATAGGCAATGTAGTTTTCTATAGGGTATTGGATTTGGTGTTTGAATAAACAAAAACAATGTGATAGTCTATAAGATAAGCAGGTAACTATCTAATCTTATTTGTCCTTCTAAGAATAGGGCAAAGAACACTACTGGAAATATCAAATTTATTAATATTTTGTGTAGTGTCAACATTAGTATTATGGTCAATGTTATCATCATAGAAATCAAAATTGATGGGCAAAAAAGGTTGACAGATATGTTCATTATCAATATACTTAGTGGCAGAAACATGATTTTCATAAAAAAATTAAGATGTGAGACATGTTAATATTGTTGTTCGTAAAATTATAAAGAAGATATCATTTTGTGTTGGGATGAAACCTGAGAAAAATAATTGGATTTGCACGTTATCCAACTTCTCCTTTTGTGAAATAAGAGTGTTAATGGAAGAGAGATAACCAAAGACACAAAGATTGCCCAAGTTAGGGAGTTTACCGTAAAGTCTTTCGTGGGATGTGTTTGTTGAAACATACAAGGATATGAATGTTGAACATTTATGGATATGAATCCTGTAGATTTTGATGATGATTCAAGAACAAAGGACTTAAAGAGTTGAAGACTTGAAATATTATGTAATAACTCTGTTTTGATGATTTTGAGTCTGTAATATTAGAGTCTAAGATAGTCAGCACACAGTCTACTTTTTAAAAGCTTCAAAAACTCTTTTTTATCAAAAACACACTGGATTAATCGATTAAATGGCAGGATAATCGATTATTATAGAGAGAAAAACCATTTTCTATATCAGCTCTCTGGAATAATCGATTAAAGCCCCTGTTAATCGATTAACAGGGCTGTTAATCGATTAACTGACTAAATAATCGATTAAACTGCGTGGATTTGGGTTCCAGGTGAATTTGGCTTTGTAATAATCGATTAACACTCAAGATAATCGATTATTTCAGTCAGATATGTGTTTTAAATGTCAAAATTGGACCAAGTTTCGAAAACCCTATTCCCAATTCACCAGGTTTCGAAAATCCCCAATTCCCAAACCATAATCCGTCTACTTAAGGTTCTCTAAGGCTCTCTGCAAAGTGAACAACCTTTTTCAAACAAAAGTTAAGAGTTGTGACCGCCAGAGAACTTTTTGTTGGAGGAAAAAGGGGCTTTTGGAACCTAGTGTGGGCTAGAAGCGATAAGAATCACTAAGTGGATTTCTTGGTGGATTGTGTGTTGTGTCGTCTCTAGGGAAAACTATTCTTCATCTCTTGTGTGACTCAAGAGAGGTGTTTTCGTTACCTTATCTTTTCAATTGTTATCTGTTTATAAAACTGTGATTATAGTGACAGCGTTAATCCTTTGTTTGAGTGATTAACAACTGGACGTAGGGTCTTTTTATCCAAACCAGTATAAATCATCTGTGTAAGACTTTATCCTTGCTCTATTTACTTTACACAACATTTTAATCAATAAAATTTGGAGAAATTTTTAAAACCCTAATTTTTGTTAAGAAACCAATTCACCCCCCTCTTGATTTTTGTCCGGATACGCAAACATTCCGATGCGCGATTCTAACAAGTGGTATTAGAGCTTGCTTTGATAGTCATTCAAATTTTTCGAAAATGGCCGGACAAAATCAAACGTTTGCCGAGGGTGCTTCTATCAATAGACCCCCACTTTTTGCGAGTCAAAATTATCCCTTTTGGAAAGTTAGGATGCAAATATTTTTAGAGTCTGTTGATAGAAGTGTTTGGGACGCAATTTTAAACGGTCCATTTATGCCAAAAGTTTCTGAAAACAGAGTAGAAGTTTCAAAACCATTTTCTAGATGGACGGCGGAGGAAAATAGAAAAGCTTAATATGATGTTAGGGCTAAAAATATAATTTTATCTGCTTTAACCCTTGATGAGTTTTACAGGATCTCCGTTTGTAAAAGTGCTCAAGAGATGTGGGAAATGTTGAGAGTGACTCACAAAGGTACCAACGACGTTAAGAGAGCACGAAAAAATTCTCTAATCCAAGAATATGAGATGTTCCGAATGCAACAAGGAGAAACGATCTTTGACGTTCAAAATCGTTTCACACACATTGTGAACCATCTCACTAGGTTAGGTAAAATTTTTTATGTTGATGAATTAAACGTAAAAATTTTGAAATCTTTGGATAGGAAATGTCAACCTAAGGTGACGACCATCACAGAGTCACAAAAACTTGCCACAATGTCTATGGCGGCGCTCTTTGGAAAGTTGAGAGAGCATGAACTTGAACTAGGAAGGCTAAATGATGAAGAAGGTCAACACCAAAAGAGGAACCTAGCCTTCAAAACTGAAATTTCCAAAGGTAAGAGTAAAAAGGAAGAAGAAGACTCGGAGAATGAAGAAGAAGAATTGAGTCTTATGATAAAGAAATTTACAAAATTCATGAAAGACAAAGGGAAGCAACCCTTCAAAGGTAAGGGAAAGGTAAGAGAAAGTACTTCTTTGAATATCAAATGTTATGGTTGTGGTGAAACAGGACATGTAAAAACCAAATGTCCAAATAAGAAGAATGAAGATAACAAAGGCAAGAAATTCTTCAAGAAGAAAGCCTACATCGCTTGGGACAATAGTGATTCGAGTTCGGAGTCAAGTGATTAAGAAATAGAAGCTAACATTTGCTTAATGACAAAAAATAATATATCTTCCGACTTTGGGGTTAGTGATTCTGACTCATCCTCAAGTGATGATGAAAATAACTTTGATGAATTACAAAATGCATATGATGAATTATTTAGTGCTTTTAAGGATTTGAAAAATGAATACAAAGTTGTGAAAAAGAGTTTGAATAGATCCGAAAAGGAGGTAGAGTCCTTAAAAATGAAAATTGTATATTTAGAGGAAAAGGAGTCCTTAAAAACGAAAATTGTATGTTTAGATTAAAAAGATAATAAGAATATAGCATGTGCATCATGTAAAGAGTATGAATATGATATTGATATACTTAATCATTTTCTTGATAAAGCTGAGAAGGAAATAAGTGATAATAATAAGGATAAAGTTGTTATTACTCAAAATAGAGAAAACCATCATGTTCCTTTGAAAAAGCCTAAAATTAAAAATAGAAGAGTATGGGTTGAAAAAGGAACTAAAACTTCAATAGTTAGAAATGCATCTTATTCAAAAACTACATCTAAAGCATGCTTTTATTGTATGAAACATGGTCATACCTCAAATAGATGTAAAATTAAGCATTTTGGTGTTCCTAAAGG